GGCAGGTCGGAGGAGAAGCCGGGAGCAAGTCGGGCTGTTTGTTTTCCTCCGCGGTGTGGAAGCAGCGAAGGGACGAGGCTGAAATATGTCGGCTGCTGCTGTATATGCTTTCTCTCTCCAAATGTTATTATCCTTATGCTGCATGATTTAAAACTGCTCAATGTGATTTTCTGCTGGGAGATGGAAAAAATTGGGACATTTAAACAGTATTTATTTCATATGTTTTAACCGCCTATCTCCCTCGATCTTCACCTAACACAGTGTTTCTCAAGCTTGACAATTTTAAGGCATGTGGACTTCAACTCCCAGAATTCCACAGCCAGCAATGCTGGCTGTGGAATTCTGGGAGTTGAAGTCCACATGCCTTAAAATTGTCAAGCTTGAGAAACACTGACCTAACACTTCATTCCTTGTGATGCTATTGATATGTTGTTTTACTGGCAAGCCAGGAGTTTCATGGGCAAAACGGATCCTTTAAATCTCGCATAGGTTTTGGGCACCCTTACTTCGGTTAGTGTCCTCCTCCTTCTAAAATTAGATTTAAAAATATAAACTAATTGAGCAAATTGATTTCTGGGACATTTTGCAGGCTGAAATACACATTGATTTTCTATATAAATAAATTCATAGGTGTGTATTTCTGTGTGCATGTACATGTATCTGTATAATCCTCAGTATGTTCAGGTCCATTTTATAATAACAATTTGCAGTGCTAATAATTTGAGGTTTACCCAAGCCACAAAGAGAATTTCATGGTTGGATATATGAGTATATATTTGAACTTGAATCTTGCTAGCCTTGTATGTGCCTAATGAATCATAACTAATTTTACAGGTTAAACTAGCATTTCATAAGTTTGCTTTTTTCCATAGTAATATATGGGTGTTTTTTTTGCTGTTTTCACAGGCTTTGCAGCCATTTTTTAAACAATAACGAAAGTGTCTGTTTTGTGGGAAGGGTTTTAGTCAGAATTCTTACCTGGTGGAACAGCAGAGGACTCACAGGAGAGAAACCATATATGTGCCGAGATTGTGGGAAAGATTTCAGCACTAGGTCTAGCCTTATAAATCATATAAGGGGAGAAACCATTGAAATGCCCAGATTTCAGGCAGTGTTTTATACAAAAGTCCTCTCTTATCGCACAGAAGAAATTCCACATGAAGCAAAATTTGATATGTGTAGAGTAATGTTGAATTTGATTTCTATTATCTTATTGTAAGCCCCACTGAGAAACCATTTTCTTTCTTTATTTTTTTTAGTCAAATGTGTCTTAGTATCATATGTGAGGAAGGAGATCTGAGCTTCCTTTCTCTGGCCCAGTGTGGTCGTTCTCTTTCACGGAGTCAAGGGAAACTGCTGTGCTGGGGGAGAGAAAAAGAACCGGGATCTCTGTTAGATATGTTGTTTCTACATACAATAAAGGCAGGATATATGTATGTATGTATGTATGTATGTATGTATGTATGTATGTATGTATGTATCTTAAAAACAATGCTAAAAACCGACAGTTGATTCCTGGGAATGTTCATAGTAAAAGCATACAAAAGTAAATGAGCACCAGGAAAAACAAAACTTTTAAAAGTTTAAAAAGGTTTTAATAAATAATGACCCAAGCTTTCGCCGGCTTTCTGCCAGCATCTTCAGGGATCCGTGTCGGTCAATGGGAGGGCACTTCTTATATTCCGGCCACCTTTGCACCCGGCCCATAGGTGCTGTCGTGACGCTCCAATGGCCAATCGCCGTTCTAACTCTGTTCTCACTCCATTGAGCTGATCTACCCGGGCCATGCCTATTTCACACAGTTTTTAAACTTTTAAAAGTTTTGTTTTTCCTGGTGCTCATTTATGTTTGTATGCTTTTAGTATGTATGTATGTATTTTTATTTATTAAGAAAAGGTATATGGCAGCCCAACTTAAGGTGACTCCAGATGGCTTCCAGCAATAAAATCCTAATACTGAATATATTGCAAATAGCAAAATGCAGATCTATATACAGAAACCAATAACCCCCCTCCCTATATGCAATCAATCAATTGGAATAGAAAAGGAAGCGGCTTGGATGTCTTCTAGTCCAACCCCCTGCTTAGGCAGGAGACCCTATATCATTTCAGACAAATAGCTGTCCACTCTCTTTTTAAAAACCTTCAGTGAGGGAGCATCCACAATTTCTGAAGGCAAACTGTTCCACTGGTTAATTGACCTCTCCGTTAGGAAGTTTCTCCTTAATTCCAGGTTGCTTCTCTCCTTGATTAGTTTCCATCCATTGTTTCTTGTCTTGCCTTCTGATGCTTTGGAGAATAAATTGACACCCCTCCCCTCTTTGTGGCAGCCTCTCAAATACTGGAACACTGCACTCATATCCCCCCCCCACTTCTTCTTTTCTCTAGACTAGCCAAACCAAAATTCTGCAACAGTTTTTCATATGTTTTAGTCTCCAGGCCTTTAATCATCTTAGTTGCTCTTCTTTGAACTTTTTCCAAAGTCTCAACATCTTTTTCGCAATGTGGTGAGCAAAACTGGATGCATTATTCCAGGTCTCGCCTTACTAAGGCTTTATAAAGCGGTAATAATACTTCAAATGATTTTTGATTCTATGCCTCTGTTTATAGAATCAAGGATTGTATTAGCTTTTTTGCCTGCTGACACATAATGCTGGCAAATAGCAAAATACAAAATACAAATACATGCGCTAATACGACTCCAGCGTCTATACAACCGTCAATCTAGATGCAGCATCATTGGTGGCTGAGGTACAAGGTCAAAACTGAGGGAGAGCAGCTGAAATGAAAGGCACTGATACCATAGAATATTGCTAGAAAGGATGTCAAGGAAGGGCAGAGGAACTTCCTCTTCCAGCGCATCCATGGGAGGTTGGAGATGTGGAGGGCAGCAGTCGTGCTGTTCCCAGGGTTAAAGCACCAACTGGAAGGTGAGTGGAGGGCAGGTCGAAGAAGAAGCCAGGACCAAGTAGGGTCTTGGGTTTCCTCCATGGTGTAAAGGCAGAGAAGCTGAAGCATGTTGGCTGCTTTTTTCTCTTTCCAAATGTTCTTACACTTACCCCTGCATGATTAAAACTTCTGCCTGTAATTTTCTGCTGGGAGATTGGAGAGGCTAAAATTTAAAGGCCTGGAGACAAAAACATAAGAAGAACAGTTGCAGGAATTGGGCATGGCCAGTCTAGAGAAAAGAAGGATTAGGGGGGACGTGATAATAATGTTCCAGTATTTGAGGGGCTACCACAAAGAAGAGGGGGTCAACTTGTTTTCCAGAGCACCAGAAGGCAAGACAAGAAACAACGGGTGGAGACTAATCAAGGAGAGAAGCAACTTGGAATTGAGAAACTTTCCTAGCAGTGAGAAAAATTAACCAGTGGAACACCTTGCCTTCAGAAGTGGGTGCTTCATCATGGGAGGTTTTCAAGAAGAGACTAGACAGCCATTTGTTTGAAATGGTTAGGGTCTCTTGCTTGAATATGGGGTTGGGGTGGAAGACCTACAAGGAGCCTTCCAGTTCTGAATCTGAGATTTGGGATGTTTAAAAAAAATCTTTTTTTGTATTTCATATCCGCCCATCACCCTCATACTTCATATAACACTTCATTTCTTGTGATTTTATTGACATGTTGTTTTCCTGGCAAGTGAGGAATGTCATGGGCAAAACGGATGCTTCTAAATCTTGCATAGGATTCAGTCACCATTTCAGCTCTTAGTGTCCCCATCTTTCTAAATTAGATTTTAAAAAATGAGAAAACGCACTTCTGGGATACTTTACACACTGAAATAGACATAAATTCTCTACATACATAAATTCTCATGTGTGTATTTCTGTGGGCATTTGTGTGCATATATGTGTGATCTCTCCAAGCCAAAAAGAGAATTTTATAATTGAGTCAATATTTGAACTTGAATCTTGCTAGTCTTCTATCTGCCAAATGAATCATAATTAATGTTAGAGGTTAAATTAGAATTTTGATGTTTTCATGTAATATATGGGGTTTCTTTTGCTGCTTTCGCATGACCTGCTTCCATTTTTTAAACAATAATGAAACTAACCTATTAATATGAATCTTAACAGACGAAAAGGATGCCAAGAAGAGCACTCTGGACAACAGAGAATGAGAAGCAGCCTTAAAATGTAAAACAAAGCATCAATCAAAATCTTTTCCACTTCCTCCAGAAAGTGTAAAAACTCTCCTCCTTCCTCAGATGAGAAACAAGGGAGAGAATTACAAGAACAAAGTTTTCAGCTGGAAAAAAATGAGAGTATGTGCAACTCAAGAAAGTATTACATGAGAAGTCAAGGAGGATAATTTCCAAATAAATAAAAAGTGGGAAAGACCTCGAAGTCGGTGGAAAGGAAAAGATCACTTGGCTAGCCAAAATGGTCAGTCATTAAATTAAAGCCTTTGAGGAAGGAAAGCACCACCAGGTAAGAAATCAGAAATATTTTTGGTCTTCTCAAGAATCCACGAATATCAGTGGTAGAAAAACCTCCGCAGATGGCTTCTTGAGGGAAAAACACCCCGATTGCAAATGACTGCTGATTGATTATTCATGAGATGATGAAAACCAATACAAATGTTTGGAGTGCAGCAAAACTTTACTCAGAATAGCTCCCTCATGATTCATGGAAGGACCCATACTGGAGAGAAGCTCGATCAATCCTCCCAATGTGTTAAGAACATTTAGCATGCACACCAATCTGGTGAGACACAAGAGGATTCACACTGGGGAGAAACTCTTTGAATGTCCTGATTGTGGGAAAAGTTTCACTCGGAATTCTCACCTGGTGAT